ACGACACATTCGTGGAAGCCGTATGCCCTGACCTGCAGCGTCAGCGCAATGTTTATACTCGTGTTTTAACGAAGGGAGCGTTAAAAGTGCGGTCCAACGGCGCATCTCTGCTGCGCTGTCCTCCGCTGTGCCACCCCACGTGGCCCCACAGTCTGTTGGCACATGCTCAATGCACGGTGGATCACCCATCGAAGCAACTGTCCAGGTCTTCTTGGTTCTTTCGGTAAAGTCACGTAGAAGGGGGAAAAAATACAATTCTTACGACGTGTCCAGGCTTAAATCAGCTCGAGATTCTGGGTGATTTGGTCGCGATAATAATATTATTTTACACCCCATTGCAAATCCACTGCTGGATAAAGGCCTCTCCATGCCTTATAATCATGGGTTTTTTTTTTTCAACCATACTTCACCACACCGGTCAATGTCGGTTGGTGAGAGCAAGGGCCCACAATTGGGTTGGGTCATCGCATGCATTTTGAGACTAGGCACTCAATACGGTTATAAGGGCATGTGCTTGGTCACGAAGCTATTACTGTGTGTGTGTGTGTGGGAGAGCAATGTCTGCTCTTGGCAGGCAAAGGCACATGCTTGATAATGGCACGAGTGCTCATCGCTGTGTGTGTATGTGTACATGGGTATGTATGGCACGAGAGCACATGCCTAACCTTAACGAAACGTGTTGGAGCAAGAGGGCATTTACTGGAGCATAAAGCCACCTTTCGTAGTTGAAGGCGTGGGGGGGAGGGAGGCGGCAAATATCAGCGAGTGGCACTAATGCCCTTTAGAATGTGTGACACCTGCACAGGTTTCGGAAGAAACGAGCTGAGATTTAATGGCTTTGGTGACTCAGTCCTCTGTGTGAAATTCAACTCTAGAATTTCACGATTCTCTGCGGCGTAACGGATTTGTTGTCACGGAGGCAACTTTCCGCTTCTTTCGCGCCCGCTGAATGCGGTATGCGCTGAGCGCCGTGGATTGTGATCAGCCCTTCGTGCCGCACAAGCTCGAAACGCCGTCCCAGTGGCGGAATGTGTCTCGTTTAAAAAGTCAGCCCCGTGGCGTGCGCGCCACGTGACCCCGGTCACGGAGTACATCACGGCATCTTTAAAACATTCCGTGGCAAGGCTTGCCGGATCGCGGCCAGATGTGGTTAAGGCCCCGTGGAATTGCGTCTCGCGGCATCGTTGACGGGAGCGGCCAAAACGGAGAGCTGTTCGTGTTTGGGCAATGCCGTGAATATTCATTTTGTGCGTTTAAAAAATTGAATCAAATGAATGTATCTAGCTAATTGAGAGAGTTTCTACTGCGTGGGCTTATTGCGGTCGTGCCGGAAGGCTCTCCGATGCGTTTTCAGATTTTATCGAGCGCGGCTCGGCACTTCATGACCCGCTTTAGAGTTCCGTTCCTGAATTTAAATCCAACTGCACTGAATGGAATGCTTATTTTGAGAGAAGTTCCCAGCAGTTGGAGCGAAACGTCGGACACGATGCCGGACAACACGCTGTGCAATAACGAAACGCACGTCAGAGAGCTACGCGAGATCTGACTGCGGTTACCCGCGTTGTACTTTGTGAGACTCTCTTAGTCGGGGGGGGGGGGGGGCTCTCCACCGCACCATCTCGTAAAAGGCCCTTCCGACAGCAGTGGCCTGAAGCAAGAGACGGCAGGGCTGAACCCTTTCCCTGTAACTTTATTTTGTGACAATTGAATCGCGCGCAGTAGTTTTTTTTAATGGTGCTTCTGCCCCGCGCGGCGCACCGGACGAAGCGACTCGTGGTCCCCCCTCACGCCGGCATCGACGGCATCCGCGTCACGTCAACTTGACCGACGGCCCTCATTTCCCCGGGCGGACGTCCGCACGCGACTCATCGAGCTTGCCCCGGGGTTCGTCGCTCGCGCCGCGCCGGGGAGGCTCCACGCGGCGCGTGGAATAGCCCCGCGTCCTCGGAGCAACGTGGTTGGTGGAGGTGATGGGCTCCAGGGTGCGGTGAAGGTGCATCCCTGCAATTCCTTGCTCACGCTACTGCTGGTCGAAGGGCCTCTAAGCTCTGTTCAGCCGCTGTCACGGACGATGGCATTTTGGGATACTCAACCATGCCGGCCGGATATCTTGGAAGAGTTTGGTACGCGCACACTTTACCCCGCCGCGCGCGACATGCCGATGGCTTAATTGGGTTGGTGGAAGCTATCCCTAATACATTTGCAGCAGAAGGCAGCAGCCCACGTACTTCATTACGACTTGCGCACAGCCAAATGTGCACCGCTGCTTCGTCATTTTAATTTGGGAGCCCATTAGAAGCCATTGTGTGGTAAGCGCCTTCCAGCGGCGCGCCGATAATATCGTGCCGAGTTGAATTCCTTTTGTGCTCGCCATTGGAATCTTGCGGGGGAGTTCACGTTTCGTGGTGCTTGCCAAATGAAAAAGAAACAAAGACAGAGACCCCCCCCCCGCCGTGTAGCCTTCACAAGCCGTTGGGGCAAGTGCTCTTCGCGAGCCAGTTTTCTAGTTTAAGGCCTGAAGCGCGTCGTAATAGTGATCGACCGAGGGGAGGCTCCGGACCGGTTCAGACATTCTCCGCTGATGTTGGCCGCCAGCGGGAATCGAATCCGGGTTCTCGTGTTTGTCGCGCGGCACGCGAACCCCATCGCCGCAGCTCCCTACATGACAAAATAGGCCGCGTAGATGCACGCGTAGCCTCGGCAAAACAGAGAGTCATCCTAATTCAGTGCATGTGCCAGGCACTTGAGGCCCGCGCAGGGGGTAATGTCAAACCAGTGATTTGCTTCTGAGAATAAAAGAAGCAAATAATCGCGTGCTCTGCTGAACGCGATTTTACAATTATCTCCCCGATGCGTTTTCGGGGTTTGCCGCATGTTGTTTGCCACGACGTCCGACGTTTCTGTCAATGGGTCGGGAACTTCGTCGGGAACGGCATTGTTGTCCGGATGGATTTCTCGGTGAAATTCCTAAAGATGCTGTCGGCGCTGGCAGCGAAACGTCGGACATGGTGCCGGACGATAGGCCAGGCGACCCAAAAAACCACATGGAAGCCGTGCAACAGCATGATCGCGCAAACTCTCCGCAGTGGATTCTACGATTCCTGCGTGAAATTTGATGCAGGATGAATGCAACGAACAGACTTTAGATGTTGAACTCTGTAGGAGTCCCCAGTGAATGGGATGCACATTGGGTTTCTGTGGATGTAAGACGGTTTGAGCTGCAGTGGCATTTAAGCGCCAAATAAATGCAAATCCATATTTTATACGCCCGCAGGCATAGCCTTGATTATTCCGTAAAAAAAAAAAAACTCGCAAAGCCTGCAGAGGAGCATTTTGGGTAATTGGTAAGAAGGTAAAGGTGCAGCCCTGCAATTGCTTGCTCACGTCACTGCTGGCAGTACGGCCTCAATTCGAGGGAGGTCGAGAGAGAGAGCTCCACTCGGACGCTATTCTTGGCCGACTTCCACGCGGGCCACGTGTGTAGAAGCACCAACACTTCACCCCACCGTGACGCGGCCTGCCCATCGACTACACGGTGGTGTGTTGCACGTGAAAACCGCTGAGGTGGTTGGTGGGGGCGATTTAAGAAACTTGCGTCATTGTGATAATTGTTTTTTTACCCTTCTATCTGGCAACAAAACTGACACCTTTTTTTACAAGGAGTCATGTTTACATAGACCACAATACCTGCAGTCATAATGCAAACAAAAAACATAACTCTGATAATGTGCACTGTCCTTGAAGTTGATTGGTCCACACCCGAGGAAAGCTGTCTCGGGTGTGGACCAATCAACTTCAAGGACAGTGCATATATTATCAGAGTTATGTGTTTTTTTGTTTGCATTATGACTGCAGGTATTGTGGTCTATGTAAACATGACTCCTTGTAAAAAAGGTGTCAGTTTTGTTGCCAGATAAAAGGGTAAAAAAAACAATTATCATATTTTTTACTTGCAAATGAGGTTCCAATGGTTGCGTCATCGTTTCAACTGCCGTGCCGGGAGATCGAATCGGGCCTGACGACCTCTCGTTTAACACGTCCAGTGTGCTGACCGTTCACCGTGGCGGGCACCCTGAAACATGTTGGGTAAGACAATCAAATATGTGAATCTGTATCGTCGTAATGATCCAGTGGCGTCTCGTTCTGAGACTCAGCCCGTCTGAGAGCAAAAACGCCTGCGGTCGGTCGCATGAAATATCTTAGGTGAGATTACATATTCTACGTGACTTTACCGAAAGAACCAAGAATATGCATCCCTGCAGTCATGAAAGCATTAAATTGAGATTATATATTTAAAACCCCAAATTTAAATTGGTGCGATCTACGATATAAAACAAATTCGCAGCGAATACAGCGAGTGGCCAGTTGCGTAAAATTCCTCTATGGGAAAATTTAAATTCATTATGAAACTGTTTAAATAATGCACCACCTCCTGTCCACGCAATGGAATGGTCGCGTGAACTCATCAGTAACTCGTGCAGGCCGTCTCAATGACAAACGACTATTGATTCTGGTGATAACGTATCATGCTGTGCCAGAGGCTATGCATATGGCCCCCTTTACAAGTCGCCTGTCTTCACGTCCACACGGAAGCCACGTGATTTACAGGAGGCTCGAGTTGATTGCGATGTGGAGATGGAGCGATATATCGATGAGCGGGGAGGGATTCAGAGTGGTGGGGTGCACACAGAATGAAGAGGCTTGAGCTGCTTTAGATGTGGGTTCTTTTCGCCAGTATAAAAAATGATGAAAATATAAGAAGAGGTTTTACCCTTTCTGGCAATAATACAGGAGGTGTTAAGTTATTCAAACACCAAATAAAAACCTTTTCCAAGGTATTGATTGACCACATACACACAAATACCCATTCAACAAGAGGGAGGGCGACTTTGGGGATAATTTAGGACGGGTGGTAAACGTACCACCTCCTCTGCCCCCATCGCCACCACCACTACCACCACCACTACCATCAACCGCCACCTCGACCGCCCGAAACTCACCAGCGTGGGGATGCCGGTGAGGCAGTCGTAGAAGAAGACGATGACGCTAATCAGGTAGGTGGTCTTGAGCGACGTCTGCACCGGCTCGGAGCCGTCGATGGACGACTTGCGCTTGCCCGTGGTGTCCTCAACCACGATGGTGGGCACCGTGATGGTGGCCTTCTCGGGCGCGCGGCGGGCCTGGTGTACGCGGCACGCGGTCTGGTAGAGGGTGATGCCCGTACACGCGATGCCCATGGCCAGGCTGCCGCCCTGCAGCGTCAGGAAGCAGGCACCGAAGCCGAGGCCGATCTTGGTGATGAGGAAGTGGCACTCGCGCGCGTAGTAGCGCTCGGTCGTGTCGTGCCAGCCGACGGCGGGCAGCGTGGACAGGATGAAGGACACGGTCCAGATGCCCATGATGGCCTGCACCGCCTGCTTGCGCGTGTTGCTCAGCCGGTAGTTGACGGGCCAGCGCACCATCCACATGCGGTGGTAGGCGAGCGACGACACGGTGAAGCACGTGGCCAGAGCCAGGGTGTAGAAGCTGGACACGAACACCTTGCAGAGGCCCTCGGTCCACTCGTAGTCCGAGGAGCCGCGTCGCATGTTCACCACGGCGTACATGAGCAGGGGGATGGTGGCGGTGAGGGCGTGCGTGCCGGCCAGGGTGCACAGGAGGAACTCGAGCGCCTTCCATTTCTGCTGCTTGGCCGACACGCTGAGGATGCCCCACACGTTGGCGACGAGGGCCGTCAGCGAGCACACGAGCCACGCCAGGGAGTTCTCGCGCAGGAAGAGCACCTCGCCATCGCCGCTCATCGTTCACGCGCCGCCCGCTGCGTGCGGAGCCCGGACCCTCGTGCCACCGCGCCACACGCTCGGGCGGTCGTTGGGCGGGAGGTGCTGCCGGGCCCCCGGCCGCATGGTCCACAGGCGACGCCGGATCAACGGGCCCCCCACCGCCCCCCACCGCCTGCCTGCCGGGTCGAGGAGTGGAGCGGTGCGTCCTCTGACGAGCTGCGGGCGGGACACATTTCACGCGGCTCAGCGGTCAAAGGTCATTTGAATTCACGGTTGATTTTAAGGGGTTCGCGGCCACGTTCTCCGTTATGTCCGCGTGCTGGGAGCTGTGTTGGGGTTCAGTTCCCCGATTAGGTTCCCTATGCGGCTCCGAGCAAACGGGAACGAAGCCGAGCTTTGTCAGAAATGGAATGCGGCTCCGGGCGCGTGGAGCGAAATGTCGGACGTCGTGCCGAGCAACACGCGGTCACGATCAGAAAACACATCGGAGAGGTGATAGGCACGACCGGGCATCTGTATTCAGATTTAGAATTGTCATATTTATTGTTAGAACGGAGGAATCCGATTATCTATGAAACTCTGTTTCGCAGATGTCCAGTCGTGTTTATTTGTTAACAAAGGCCTCAAGGAGTCTCGAGACTGGACCAGGCGGGTCCTGGCATGTTGGGATGTTGGCCTATTCCATTGAAGAGTGTGAAATGTTATAGAAAGCGTTTGATTAAAAAAAAACACTTTATTGCGAATAAAATAAAGTGTTTGGCTTCCTGTGGGAGGAAACTGGGGAAATCGGAGAAAACCCAATGCATTCAAAGAGGTGACGATAGTACGTTGAACTCAAAAGCCCCCAAACCCATCGATTCAAGAATCAATTTTCTGTACCACCAACTCCTGGTCACATGGCATCTTCGATCTTACACAAGCTGGTAATAACCAGGCAGTCTCCCATCCAAAGCACTAACCAGGCTCAACACACCAGCTGACCTTTCACACCGATCTGCTGAGATCGGGTGCATTCATGGTGCTCCGGTCACATGTAATATTCATGTTTATTATCATTATCAGAGCACGTCTTTATACTTACTTTCTCAACGCAGCACTTATGGCAAAGTAACTCGTCGTTTATATCTGTCGAAGACTCTGAACGCCATGCACATCGAGTATGTAAATGACTCTGTAGGGGCACATCGAGCGGCAAGGCTCGCGTTGTTTTACAATCGCGCTTGACCCGACCTCCGACGGCCGGCTCCGTTATCTGACGGAGACTCACTCACTCCTAATGGCGGCGACATTATAATGGTGATGATGCCGCCAACGCCGAGGAAGGAGGAGGATGAGGAGGCTAAAAGACATTTTGATTGCCCTCGTGGCAGGAGAGTGCTACGAGCGTGTTGCGTGCGCAGCAACAGGCGATTCCGGCGAGAGGTTGGGCGATTCGGGGTTCCTTTAGCGCGTGGGCCCCAGCAGATGCCACGAATAGGCGGCGCTTTTACCAGTGACCCCATTGCGAAGCCCGTTTTGTGCGATGCCGAGACTGAGCCGAGAATGGGGGTAAAAACAACATGGGCATTTTCGTTCTCTTCTATCATGTGCACCAACAGGTGCTTGCGCACAAACACGTACACGTGCACCTTGTGCTCTCTTTTAGCCCCACCCCTCCAAATACGTTCCATTCATTGGCTACCACATTCTGATGAGCTCCCCCCCTCTCCCTCCCCCTTAACTTGTATTTAAGAGCTTGCATCTTGAAATCCCTGCCTCACTTGATGCAGCAAATCTGGCTGTGACGGTCCCACCTGATGACGGAGACTTGTGTTGCCTCCGAAAAGTCGTGATTTTTATTATTTTATTTTTTATTAATTTAAATTTTATTTTTTTACCTACGTGACTTTACCGAAAAAACTAAGAGTATGAATCCTTGCAGTCACGAAAGCTTCAAATCTAGAATTCGTTCATCGTGCAGAAATTATCGTCAGTCAGTCATGTTCGATCTACTGCTGAGTTGACCCCGATCTCCGCCCCCCCTGCCCCCCCCCCTCCCGAAGTCGCCGTTATTTCTCGCGGTCTTGCCGCAAAGAGTTACGGAGGCTGATTTCACGATAGCTCCATCCCTGCGGTGAACGTCCTGCCATGGGCGCCTTCGTCAAACCTTGGCTGCCCGCCCGGCCTCATGCTTCACCATCGGCCGTCATTCTTTCGAGCAGCGACGCGTCCTGCCCAATCCCAGTTTTATTTTTTTGGAGCCAGCCACCACGATGCGTTTCACGCCTGTGTACTTCCTCAACATTCCGCTTCACCGAGATTATTAATGAAAGTGTGGCGCGACACGCGTGGGACTGCATTCTAAACACAGCGATGCTTTTCACTTTCAAAAAGAATCAACCAGCGCGGAGAAGTATGGTCAGATAAATGGACATGACGTGGGGAGATCTTCGCCCTGCAGACCACTTACACAAGCCTGTACATTATTGCATTATTATTTCAATCTCGCAGCACCTACGCAGTCCAGTTTCTACCTTACCGTGTGTCTGTGGACCAAATCGCTCATAATGCGTGCGATCTCATCACATGATAATGGAGTTTTCCCTTTTTTTCTGGCAACAAAACAGCTGTGTTAAGATGTTAAAACACCAAACTGAAACCTTTTACAAGGAATCATGTCCGCATTAACCACAATGCTTGTGGTCAGAATGCAAACAAACAAACTAACTCTGATGATATATGCATTGTCCTTTGAAACTGATTTGGTCCACACCGGAGACAGCTTTCTTTGTTGCCAGAAAAAAATTGTGGTACTGGCAAAGGAGGTCCCATGATGTAGATCTCATCACATCTCGTGCAATTGTGCAGCTAAAGTGTGGGTAGTGCTTGGATGGCCGACCACCGTGCAGAAACAGGGTTTCCATCGCCTCTTGCTCTGCGGTGGGCAGCAGATGCTCAGTTGTGGTCAAATCCATTGTTATGTTGTACTGTACTTCTCTGCACCTGCGTCTATGTTCCCCACCTTCACCAACTCGCGCTGACCAGTGTGGTGAAGTATGATCACTCGACTGGCACGGGGCGTGAAAGGGGCCTTCATCCAGCAGGGGATTAACACCAGGGCTGTGCGTCACGTGTTAGATATGCATGATTGATAACGCAGCGTGCACTGCACCCACAGCCCAGGGATATGTGGAAGCGTGATGGTGATGAGAGGAGGTTTTGTTCCATCTTGGATAATTATTGAGTCGAGCGGCCACCGTCAGCCAAATTACCCGCATTTCAGATTGCCATTAGAGAAACATTTTCCGAAGTGCCCTTGAGAACATTAACGATGGTTATTAATTGGAGAATTATAAAAACGGCGAAACGAATCAAGGTGATGTTGAGGGCCAGGAGACGTCACGAGAATCACCCAACGACGAGAGACGCAATGAACTCCCTTGGAGTGGAGACTGAGAGAGGGGGAGCGGAGAGACGGTGGAGAGAGACAGAGACACAGAGACAGAGAGACACAGAGACAGAGAGACACAGAGACACAGACAGAGAGACACAGAGACAGAGAGTCAGAGAGACACAGAGACAGAGAGTCAGAGAGACAGAGACAGAGACACAGAGACAGAGAGACACAGAGACAGAGAGTCAGAGAGACACAGCAACAGAGACACAGAGACAGAGAGACACAGAGACAGAGAGACGGAGAGACACAGAGACAGAGAGACGGAGAGACACAGAGACAGAGAGACAGAGACAGAGAGATACAGAGACAGAGAGACACAGAGACAGAGAGTCAGAGAGACACAGCAACAGAGACACAGAGACACAGAGACAGAGAGACGGAGAGACACAGAGAAAGAGAGACGGAGAGACACAGAGACAGAGAGACGGAGAGACAGAGAGACGGAGAGATACAGATACAGAGAGACGGAGAGACACAGAGACGGAGAGACAGAGAGACACAGAGACAGAGAGACGGAGAGACACAGAGAAAGAGAGACACAGATACACAGAGACAGAGAGACACAGAGACAGAGAGACGGAGAGATACAGATACAGAGAGACGGAGAGACACAGAGACAGAGAGACACATAGACGGAGAGACAGAGAGACACAGAGACAGAGACACAGAGAGAGAGACAGAGAGTCAGAGAGACAGAGAGACGGAGAGACAGAGACAGAGACACAGAGACAGAGAGACAGAGAGACAGAGAGACGGAGAGACACAGAGACAGAGAGACAGAGAGACGGAGAGACAGAGAGACACAGAGACAGAGAGACGGAGAGACACAGAGAAAGAGAGACGGAGAGACACAGAGACAGAGAGACACAGAGACAGAGAGACGGAGAGACACAGAGACAGAGAGACGGAGAGACACAGAGAAAGAGAGACGGAGAGACACAGACACAGAGAAACACAGAGACACAGAGACAGAGAAACACAGAGACAGAGAGACGGAGAGACACAGAGACAGAGAGACACAGAGACGGAGAGACAGAGAGACACAGAGACGGAGAGACACAAAGACACAGACGGAGACGACGTCACGGAGGTCACGGCTAGATAGGTGCGTCTCGCCCGAGGAGGGAATGTAAGCGAATTGCATTGGGGGTAGAGGCCTTTCGTGCCCTTCCGGCAGTTGGAAATTAAAGGCCGACGGTAACAGCAAGAGGTTGTTAATTAGCCATCATTATTGTTGTTGTTGTCATTGTGTACAGCTTTGTTGTCAGTCCACGGCTGGATCGAGGGCCTCCTGCGCATGCCGTTTCTGTCTCCTCGGGGCTCGTTGAGCGGCAGCCGCAGCGCTGCTCAGTGGCGGTCGGCGAGAGGAGATCGGCTCGGATCCCACTGCTGGTAGCTGCGGCAGTGCATCTTCCTGGGGTTCACCCCCGGGTTCATATTGCAGCGCGCTAACCACTGCACCACCGCTCCACCAACCCCCCCCATCCCCACCAAGTCATTACTGTTTTTTTTACGTATTCGATTAAACTAATACGCAGTACACGCTGATGATATGGATGTTGGGAATGTATCTAAGGAGATGGAGCATGAATGAAGAGGATCGAGTCTTCAGCGGGGATTGCTGATCTTCTCAAGTTCGGGGAGGCGAGGCTCGGATGGTCCTGGCACGTGTTGACAAAGAACAAGAAGATGCAGTTATCGAAGGCTTTGGAGATTAGAGACTCGTAGACAAACACAGAGACCCATAGACTCGCATAGAGATCCGTAGACTCGACAAAAG